TAGTCCCCGGCATATGGTGGACGGAGGGCACTTCCGTGCAGGCCAGCCAGAGGTCCAGAGGGGGGCCTGTACCCCAGCTCTGCTGGGCACCTCTGGGCAAGGTTCTTCCCCCTGAGACCCCGGGGGTCTCAGATGTGGAATGAAGTAAGCCGGGGTCTTTGTGGTGGTTTTTTTTTTTTTAAAGATTTTATTTATTTATTTGAGAGAGAATGAGAGACAGCATGAGAGGGAAGAGGGTCAGAGGGAGAAGCAGACTCCCTGCTGAGCAGGGAGCCTGATGTGGGACTCGATCCCGGGACTCCAGGATCATGACCTGAGCCGAAGGCAGTCCCTTAACCAACTGAGCCACCCAGGCGCCCTTTGTGGTGGTTTTGAAACATGTCTGTAAATGCTTGGGCATTGCTCCTATTAAGAGGGGGATCTAATTTGCATCCTTTGAATGATGTGGCCTTTGTGACTTGCTCCTAACTAATGGGATGCAACAGGAATGACGCTGTGTGACTCCCAAGATGGGGTTAGGAGAGGAGACACAGCCTCCCATGGGCTCTCTTGGGACACTCTTGTCTTCGGAGCTTTGAGCTGCATGTAAGGAATCGTGGAGGCTGCCACGCTTTGAGGAAGCCCAAACCGGCCCAATGAAGCGCCCACACAGAGAGGTCCTGCTAGGGTGCGGAGAGAGATGCAGCCGGCAGCCTCCGGCTGCAATGGCCCCTAGCTGTTCCAGCACCAGCCACCATCTGACTGCAAGTGTATGAGAGATCCAAGCCACAAGTGCCCAGCCAAGCTGTTCCCGAATTTCTGACCCACAGAAGTCATGAGAGATAAGAAATTATTACTGTTATTTCAAACCACTAAGTACTGGGGCTGCAGTGTTATTCAGCAATGGATAGCCAGAGTGGTCTCTATCATGCTACCTCTCCAGGCCTTCCAGAAGTCTATAAAAAGCATTTCCTAAATCCACTGTGGAGAATGAAAAGCATCAAGATATTATCTCTATAATATAAATTATCCATCCATTCTTTCAACAAAATTTTACTCATCACTCAGTCTATACCAGGCTTGGGACTAGATGCCACGGACGAAGGAACGGTTAAGACATCATTGTGTCCTTGAGAGAAGTCCATGGTCTAGTTGGGGAGATCGACTCACGCCCCGATATTTGTAACCAGTGTGGGGGGCATATACCAGAATTACCAGGATCGCTGGGAGACCATTTCAAGCTCTGCTCCTTGCCTCCCACAGGGATTCTAGTAACACCAGGTGGGGATCCGGGGCGGGTGCCTCTGCTACTGCCGGGAGTGTGTTGGAGCCCGCCCAGGTGAGGAGAGAGAGAAGAGTTTAGGGACCACTTCTGTATAGAAATCTTTAAAAACTTTAAGAATCTTTAAAGAGCTTGGTAGTTAAGAGCTGTAACGGAAAGATGTATAAGGCAGAGTGGGGGCTAATAAGAAAATTAAAATGGCTACCATTTATGGGGTGTATACTGTGCATCAGGACATGGTAACAGGTGCTTTCCATACATCCTCTGAGTTACTTCCCAGTAGCCCTGTGTAATTAGATCCCTTTTACACATTGCTGGGATGTCCTGGAGATTCCCACCCAGGACTGGCTGGCTTCTAGGCCTCAAAGGCGTACCTCTCTGGCTCAGGGAGGCAGAGGATGTGAGAGACCCCTAGGAACAGGAGAGGTGAAGGGGCTGACGTGGCAGGAGCGGGCTGCCAAGGAGAGGAAAGGGAGGTTTCTCCTTTGTCTTCATTTACACTTACCTCTGCCTAGTCACCTGACCTGCTTGAGTTCTACTCTAGCACCGAGAATCACAGAATGTTCCCTCATTCCTTCAGTCACTCATTCAACAGTTACTAAGTGCATACTCTTTCCAGCAATGGTCCTGAAAGTATTTTAGAGGCACAGCATTATCTAACCCTCACAATGGAGAGACCGTGACTCAGAGAGGTGGCATGACTCACCTAAGGCCCCCAACCAGTTAGTGAGTGAATCAGGACTTGAAACCGTAGTTCCTCATTCTCAATTCAGTGCACATCCTTTAGGATGGTGCATTCTGGGGACGGCTTTGTCTTGATGTGGATGATACCGCATCTGTCTCATCCCCGTCAGAGAACTCCCTGCCCCTCTGGCTTCTCTCAACACAAATGGCTATCCCTGCCTGTGTGAAACAAGGCCACACAGTGTAATAATGGGGATGAGGAGCTTTCAGAGCACAGATTTACTGAGCACCTACCACTGCACCTGATGCATAGTGCCCAGTAAATGTTTTCTAAAAGAAAGAGTGAATAAATGAATGAGTCAGGAGAGATAATACAATGGAGCTAACGTGAGAAAGCTCAAGAGAGCATGCAGTTGGACGCCCTCCGAGGAGCTGGCAGGATCCCGTGCATGCTGTCTCCTGAATTTCAAAGAGTGACAGGCATCTACATGAGCAGCCTTCACACCGACAACTACAGCAAGGCAGAGCGAGAAACCACACCAGGGATTCAGATGACAGAAAAAAAGATGCTGTGCTGAGTTACCACTGGTTCTGACACCAGCGGAGAAATGTGGCCCCATGAAGCATTGTTTTACAGCTGCTAACCGAGAAGAGCCTACTTGACAGGCAATGTCGACAAGTGGAAAGGTCTCAGAAAAAACTTGTTTCTTGCTTATGTCAACCCCCAATTCGGGCATATCAAAGACACACTTGTAGCTTTTTAGCCAATAAAACCATTTATAAAATACGTTAGAGTCAGATCTCATTTGTCTAATTATCCTTCAGGGAATGACTCACTCCAGATCACCAAGATTCCCACACTGTTACTTTTATAAGTATTAAAACCTCATCTGGAGACAGAAAGTAGATCGGTGGTTGCCTAGGACTGGGGAGGGATGGCGGGTTAGGAAGGTGATGGGTAATGAAAATGTTCTAAAATTGATTATGGTGAAAGACACACAACTCTATATACTGAAGGTCACACGGAACTGTACACTTTAAATGGGTGAATTGTATGGTTATGAGTTACATCTCAATAAAGCTGTAAAAAAAAACCCTTATCTAAATATAATGGATAGAAATTCTTCTCATATAATGCAACGCTCTCACTATTACAGTATACAGGGCAGTTTGCCCTACACTAAATGACCCCCTGTTTTTGCTGTTTACTTTAGTTTTTCTGTTGACACCCTTTACTTTCACCATAAGCTTGGTGATTAAGCTCATGGGCATGGGTCATGTATCACTGACTTACTGGCTATGTGATCTCTGGTGAGTGACTAGATCTCTCTGCGCTTGTTTCTCCATTTGTAAAATAGCAGTAGCAACCTCACTGGAGGGCTGTGGGTGTTAGAGGAGATGATATGGATAAAGCATTGATTGCTGTTCCTGGCAGTGGGGAGACAGACTGAATTTCAGCCATCAACACTATTCTCACTACTGTCAGTACAGCTGCCTGGAGGGACTAGGACTCAGAAACCAGAAAACCCGCCCAGAGTGTTCAATACACCTGCTGTGTTCAATGAGATGGAACAGAGGCTGCAAGTGCAATTTCAGGATTGGACTTTGGGACATCCCATGGGAAGGCTCTCAGCATCAGTGATACTAGGTAATTTGTCCCAGTTCACCCTCAAACAGAAAAACCCAGAGGCCTGGTAAGGTCTCTCAAGATCCTGGATCTGGGAGGCCGGTGCCCAGGGGGACACAGTGGTCTACAACACTTTAGGCTTTCTCTAGACCAGTGGTTCTTAAAATTCAGAGGTCACAGATACCTTTGAGAATCTGAGCAAAGCTATGGACACTTGGCCCAGAAAAGTATATTTATATATACTGTACCCATAAGTACAGGGGAAATCCTGGATCCCAGAAGCTACCCATAAACCCCTGGCTAAAAACCCCAGCTCTAGACTTCCTATAACCCCAGCATCCTCAAGGTTCAGCGGCTGTGAGCCCCAATACTCCCACAGTAGCTGGAACAGAGGTCTTCTGGAGGCTTGCCCTCCTAAACTGGCCTTAGCCAGATACTGGGAGCTGACTGCCACATCTTAGTCACTGCAAACAGCTGCATCAGGGGGTTCCCAGGGGCACTGAGTCAGAGCAGGACACAAGCCTGGTAGATCGGGAAGCTACTGTAGGGCAAGGCCCAGAAGCCCTGCTGATAAGCATCTGGGTAGTTCCAGTCCTAGGGCAGCGGCCAGACAGACTCTCACTCTGCCAGCAACAGAGAAGAGGAATCTTAGGTGCTGGAGGCAGGCTAGGACATGAGAAGGAATTCAAAGGAGATGGAAATCCCCCAAGCTCCCGGGACTACTAGCCTTGGACTGAGAAACAGAGGCTGGAGATTCTGCTCTAACTGCAGAGAGACAGAGCCGAAAGAGGGTGGGCAGGTTGTGGGGAGGAGAGGGGGCTGAACCATGGATCAGAGGCTGTTAAAAATGATTAACTGATGCCAGAAATGTTTAAATATGAACACTGACCCAGGGTGGCCATACTTCCAAGGAGACAATTCATGTTTCATGAACTGCAATTTTCTTCCAACTGGAAGGGACCTGCACCATCTCTCCTCATCACACCTGTGGGCTGTGCTTGCTTCTCCAGGTTGAGTTTTGCTTGCTTTTGCTCTTCTATCACAGTATTAAAATTCCCATAATGTGCCCTAGACTTATGAAAATAGCTTTGCAACAACTGGTGGACAGGGAAGTTGGCATCATGCCCAAATTTGCTAATAACTTCTGTGTACGATTCCATCAGCATAAGTGGATGGCTAAAGAAACCCATTCTCTTTGGAGCCGCTAGAAGTACGTTGTTTTTCTGATGCTATAAAGAAATGGTCTGTAAAACCGCAGTGTGATATTGTATAACTTCTGCAAAGGGCCATCCTGCTTTTTCTTCATGGGACCAAAATTCCTTTCTAATTTCACTCGGAACCTATTTCTTTTATTTGTCCAAACAGAAAGAAAGGTTACGAACACTTGGGATGCTATGGTAGAGTGGTATGAGCATTGTGACTACCCACCTGGTTTAGTTTCTTTTTCCTACTTGCATCTCTTCAGATTTTCCACTGTTGACTAATCAGTGTGGAAATTCTAAGGGACCAGAAGAAAAACAAAAATTAGAGCCAGACACACTCTAGGGTTGTAAACTAAAACAATCTTTTGGGAAGACAAGTTAAACATATCTAGTAACATGTTAAATGTGCATATCCTTTGGGTCAGCCAAATATCTGGGAATCTATGCTACAGGTATGTTCCAATAACTAAAAGGATGTTCAGTAAAACATATTGTGTAATAGCCAAAAAAAAAAAAAAAAAAGGAAGAAACAAGTTAAATGTCTGAAATAGGAAGAGTTAAGTTACGGTGTACCAAAATATGGTGAGAAACTAGGTGGCTATTACAAAGAATGAGAAAGATTTCGTTGTACTGACAAGGAAAAATGCGAATGCTCTATTGTTAAAAAGTGGTGTAGAACTGTATATGTCATCATTTTTAATAAAAATATGAACATGATTGTTTATTCTTAGAAAAGTTCAGCATTTGTATACACATACACAGTTTTTGGTATCTACACAGAACAAGGCCATCAGCAAACTATGAACACTCTGGACTCGGAAACTGGGGAGGGAAAGGAGTGAAAGACTTTTTACATGAAAAATTTGTTTTGATTGAAAACTTTTATTTATTTATTTTTAAAGATTTTATTTATTTATTTGTTAGAGAGAGAGAGAGAGAGAGAGAGTGGGTGAGAGAAAGTGAGCGAGAGTACAAGCAGGGGGAGCTGCAGGCAGAGGGAGAAGCAGGCTCCCTGCCGAGCAAGGAGCCCAATGCGGGACTCGATCCCAGGGCACTGGGATCATGACCTGAGCCGAAGGCAGCTGCTTAACCGACTGAGCCACCCAGGCGTCTCTTGATTGAAAACTTTTAGGCGTGCCTGGGTGGCTCAGTCGTTAAGCATCTGCCATCAGCTAAGGTCATGATCCCAGGGTCCTGGGATCAGCCCCGCATCGGGCTCCCTGCTCGGTGGGAAGCCTGCTTCTCCCTCTCCTGCTCCCCCTGCTTGTGTTCCCTCTCTCGCTGTGTCTGTCAATTAAATAAAAAAAAAAAAAGAAAAAAGAAAACTTTTAAAGAGCACACATAACTTTCATAATCATTGTACATGCTGTCTATCTAGAATTCTAAAATATCAAGCGTTCAAAAGACATTTTTAGACAAAGACTGAGCAAGTTTGCCATTCTGACTCCAAGAACATTCTCCAACAGAAAGGAAACCAAACAGAGAAAGTGAGTGAGATTTCGGAATCAACAGTGAGCACAATTAGTAAGTACAGTGTATTGGTAAATTTAAAACACTGATTGAGTGAAACAAAGCTAAGTGGGGAGATAAACACAAGTTTGACAATATTACGTATTTGACGATAAGAGTGTCAAGGATGAAAGAGAGATCAGAACTAAAACTTTGCATGGTCCTTGTTTATTCAGGACAAGCAGGAATACTGTTTGAGACAATATATCCATGATGCCTATTTAAAACTTTTAAGGTAAAATGACAAAATATAGAAATAGAACACTTAAGTTTCAAACCAGTTAGCATGTTCCTGGGTAGAGAAGTCTAATTATCCAAAAACATTAATCCTCTCCAAATTACTACATAGTTTTAATTAAATTTCAATAAGAATACAAATAGCTTTTTTGGGAGAGTGAAATGGGTAAAATTACTGTAAAGTTCACATGGAATAATAAATTCCCCAAAATTTAGCCAAGAAATAGGAAAGAATATTATTTAAAAATGTAAATAGGGGATTTGTCTTAAGAGATAATAAAAATTTACTTTATAAAGACTTAAGAAAAAGATATGGTTGTAACATAAGAACAGACAAATAGGTCTGTGGACTAAAGCAGTGAGTTCAGAAATGGATACAAGAAAGGATCTTATTTATCACAAAGATGGAATTTCAATGCAAAACAGAAAAGATGGCTTATTTAATAAATGGTGCTGGCATATCTAGAACAAAGCTTGACCACTACCTCTGCTACGGATAAGTATAATTCCAAAGGGATTAAAGGTTCAGGATTAAATAATTAAAACCATAAAAGTATTGGAAGAATGTTTAGGAAAATATTTATATAATTTCGAGGTGGGGAAATTATTACTAAACAAGGCAAGAAATCCAGACACTATGAGAAAAAAATAGAAGAAATTTAATAAACAAATAGTAGATTAGGAAAAATATTTGTAATACATATAGAATCCTTAATATATAAATATATAAAGAGCTCCTACAACTTGTTAAGAAAAAAAGCAAAAAATTCCTAAGGAAAAAAGTGAAGGAAATTCAGAGAAGAGGAAAACGAAGTGGCCAATTAACATGAAATAATGTTCAATCTCACTAGTAGTAAAGAAAATACGAGGCAAGCACCTATGAGACACCATTTTCTGCCATGAGATTGGTCACAGAATAAAACAGTACAGATACAGGAAGGGATAGAGTGAGGAGGGGAATGGAGAGTGGAGGGAGAGACAAAGGGTAGGAGGGAAGAAGGGAAAGAATATCTAATATTGGTAAAGATTTAAGGAAATGGAAGTACTCCTATATTTCTGGGAAGAATGTAAATTACCAGAACTCTTTATATAGTAGAATATTCTCTACTAAAATGTCAAAGACATATACAACATGCATGTTAATATACAATATTATTTTTGAAAATGTAACTTACAGAAATAAATGCACGATTAGAGTCAGTGGTATTACAATACTGTCCCATGTGACAGACGGTGGCTCTACTTGTAGTGGACACAGCGTAGCTTACAGACTTGTCTAACTGCTAGGTTATATACCTGAAACTAATGTAACATTACGTGTCAACTATATGTCAAGTTAAAGAAAGAAACAAAAGCACCAGTAGAGAAGGACATGTACATAAAATATTTTTAGTGAAAACAAAACATAACTTGAATATCTGTCAAAGGAGAAATGGCTGAATATATTGTGGACCTCTAGGTCTATAGCCCTGAAGCTGTTTAAAAGGGTGCATTAGATTTATACCTACCTAGGATGTATTATCTGGTGGGAAAAATAAAGTACAAAATAAAAGTATGATCCCACTTCTGACAAAACTAATAACCACACATCTACACAAACCCTACATCCATTTCACTAGGAACTTGGAGAAAAGATATATACCAAACTGATTTCAGAAAGATGGAAATGGGAAGTAAGGGGAAAGGAGAGATTATAACTTTTTCTTTATAACATCTTCAAATTGTTTAGTTACAATGAGCATATGTATTACTTTAGGGAAAATTAATGAAAATAAAAACAATGACAAGCAGAGAAAAACTCTGCTATGTTATACACTACCCATTTATCTTTACATGGATAGTTAACTCCACTTACTGTCACTTTGTTTTTTGGTCAAAATAGAACATTTTAGTAGCTGGAAGACAAATTTTTTAAAAAAGCTTCATAGAGGGGGAAAAGGGGTACTTTAATTCCTAAGTATTTATGCTTTTTATTTAAGAAGGGGGAAAATATTACTTAGAAAAAAAAAAAGAATTTCCCATGTTAAAATCCAAAAGCAAGCCTAAAACTTCGGCTTGAAACTGCCCTGTTTAGGTGGTGTGTGGGCTGGTTCTGTGCTGTTGACTGTTTTCCATGGCTCAGTGCCCTTGACTGCTTCCCCCCCCCACAAACCAATTAAATACACCCCTGGGAGTGAACTGGCTGCTGAGAACCAAAGGCCTGCAAACCCCTCATCTCTGCTCACAGGCTCTCTTGGTCTCCAAGCAGATGCTTTGGCTTCTACATCAAATGGGTTCTGGAATCCAGAGAAGTGAAATGGCTTGCTTTTGCAAACCATTCTGACAGGAGGAAGAGAGGAAATGGTTTATCCCAGTGGATGAAATAAAAGAGAAGAGATGAAGAATAGCATTCCCAACAAGCTCTTGAAGGACAGCTACTATACCAAATCTGCCATTTCAGAGTTACATGCAAGGTACACTCTGGCCTTCCCCGGTGGAATGCTCTGCTTTTAACTGTTGTTATTTTATTTCATTGGTAATAAATGTTGCATTGAAATAATAATGATACCTCTCATTTCTACAGCACTTGATATTTTACAGAGCACTTTAAGATACCTGATCTCATTTCATCTTCACGATGACCCAGGTATCAGATGAGTATCATTCCCACTTACAGGTGAAAATGACTCAGAGAAGTTCAGAATCTTTTTAAGTCATGTGGCAAGTTGGTAACAGAGCTGCAATTCAAACTCTGGTCTCCAAACCCCAAGTCCAGCAGGAAGCTCAGGTATGAAATCACAGGGAGAAAGGGGAACTACAGACAAGCCAATGAATAAAAGTAGGCCTTGGGAGGAACAGCTCTTCCTGCCCTTTAGGAAAATAACTGTAGTCTAGGAGTAATATTTTATGCCACCTCAGAGAGAAAATTTGCTCATTTACTGGAATAGAGCTGCTGACTATGGGAAGGAAATCCCATGCTCCTGGGTCTGCCCACCCACATCCTACCCAACCTGCAATGCCACTAGACCTCTAAAGCCCAGGGGACAGAGGATGTATCTCTTTTGTCTCTACGGCCTCAGGGCCCAGCCCTGGGTCTGGTATAGACTAGAAGCCACTAAGTTTCTACCTCTAGTAGTTTCAAATCCATCTACCTCTTCCATCCACCCCGCCCCCCAGTGGTCCTACACAACACCAATCCTCTCTCCCCATGACTACTGCGACTGCCCCTCAATCCACCCCCCACACAGCAAATACCACCCACAAAGGCCTACTGACTAATCATCATCATCAGGCCCCAGACTAATTCTCTGAACCCTAACCTCCACCTCTTTCTCAGTTCCCTTCCCCTCTATGCTTCAGCCACGCTGGCCTCCTTTTAGTCTCTCCACCATTCCACATGCTTTCCTGCCTTGGACACTTGCAGACGTGTACCTGTTCCTACTTGGATTATCCTTTCCCGTAATGCTCTTCTTCCCCACCTTTGGCCTTAGCTCTTGGCCTAATGGACACCTCATCTCAGTTTAAACACTGTTCAAACAAGCCTGCCCTGACCACGTTCCTGTTTATTCACTTCATACCACCACCATACATCCTAGGCTGTGAACGACCATGAGAAGGATCATGCTTGTTTTATGAAATACTGTCCACCTATCACCTCGCTCAGTGCCTGGCAGATAATGAGGTGCTCAATGAATATTAGCTAAAACTGTGTTGAAATGAAGGCTTGATTCAAATGCTACTGTCTCCCTTTCTCAGGCTTTCCATGGCACTGTCCCTCTCTTGGGGCACATAATGACCTGTGTGAGAGTTATCTGAGTCTTTTTTTCCTATCAGACTATAAGCTACTTACAAGTCTAATTTACCTTGGTATTCCCCATAGCGCCTTGTGTAATGCCTAAACACAAGGGTTCTTCTGAACAGTGGATGAATTCTTGCTCATACACAGGAAAGTACAAAGGAAGGCTACAGCCTCTAACCAACCACAGACAATGGCTTCTCCTACCCAGGGGACTGCAGTACAAGGCATGGACACCTTTGAGATAGGCAGACTGCCCAGAATATTAGAAGTGAAACCTGAAAAGCAGTGGTAGTGTGTGGGTGAGAAGACAGGGGGTGAGGACAAGACATGCATGTACTGCTAAAGGGGGGAGTTTCTCACACTGGCAGAAACTTTCTGGTGCCAAACTGGAATGTGTGTAAGAGATCTAAAAGTTCACCTCTGACCCACCCATGCCTTATTAAAAAAATCAGAGACATGAAACCACTGGTTGATGATTTGTTTTTCTGTACTGTCTAGCTTTCCTTCCATGAACATGTTCTAATTTTGTAATCTGGGGAAAAAAAACAAAACCCACCTCAATAAATGTTATAAAAACAAACCAGCAGAAAATCCAGTGGTGATCTTAGACTGCAGAATCACCCGTCCTTATGCCTCCTTACTAAATTTAGGATTGTAGACTCAGGGTCCTCCAGGGTGGGGCCCCTGCAATTTGTGAGGAAGAGTTCCTGTCCTTCATCAGAAGCCTTGGGCAGGAAGGTGCCAGGAGGGCAAGCTTCAGCAGGGTGCAGCTCTCATTTCTCCCTAATGCAGATGCCGGTAGAGCTCTGAGAATCAGGAAATGGAGGGGAAGTGTGGGAGTAATCAACCAGCTCAAGACCAGGACTCCCATCCACTAGATGCGGATCCACTGCAACTGTTCATTCACCTCCCTGTCTTTCCTGATAAACTGAGAACTTCACAAGGCCACAGGCTGTCTCCTCATAGCCCTGTTCCTCCACCCTCGTGCTCTGTACTAGTCTGCCTTCAGTGTAATTTACTGAAAGGCAGAGACCACACCTATAAAGTACTAAACATAATGACTGACCTAGGTCCCTGGGACATAATAAGAACGCATCAGCTACCAATACTTCATTTCTAGAATGCCCTGAAGGTCCATTATTCATTTCAGAAAAGCCAAGTTAAAGAGTAGTAATTTCTTAGAAGATTAAAGAGACTTCTTTTAAACAAAGTTAGGAAATGCCGGCCTCCTCAAGTAAGAGCGAATGCATTTTAATCTGCAGTTCAGAATCCCTTAGCATTGCAGCTTCCAAAGGAACCACTCTTTGAAGGAGCGGTGCTCAAAAGTTTTCATAAGGCCTTTCTGAAAGATTTCCAGGAGGTAGTGAGCTCAGCCTTGGGTCATGATTAATGACTTGTTTCCAAGAACTTTAGATTTTCCATGTCTGTCTCCACTTAGGAATCACTTCTGGCCCCTTGTGAAAACACTCAGCAGTTAATTGGGTGAACTCAGCTTCTTGTCACACTCAGAAAATAACACCTGACACCAGTTTCTTCCTTAAGTGGCTGGGCCAGCATCCTCCAGTCCCAGGAGAACAGCACCCACTTCTGTTTTTGGTCTGAGCACCTGAGTGATAAGAAACGGTGCTAAGGCTTGGCTGAAAGAGCCAGCATGGCAACTCCAAAGGGTTTCAACACTGATCAGTTCAGAGATGACCCCACATCCCTCATACAAATGCCAACCTATGACTGAGGGGGCCAGGGCCTGTGTACATTGGCTAACATTCTCTTTCTGGAAACCATAAAGTAGCCAATTCCAAGTATATATTTTTGTGCCAACTAGGTGCACTACAAGCTTTATCCTGTTTCATCCTCGTAGTACCTACCCCTGGAGGTAGGTATAATTGCGACCCCCACTTCACAGAAGAGAAGCAGGCTCTATGAGGTAATCTGTCTGAGATGTCTTCACTAGGAGGTGGTGAGGACAGAGCTCTGCTACTCTCCCCAACTTCTCACTGAACTCTACATAGTCTGAAGTGACAGAGACTGTGGACACCCACCAGCCCAGGGGTCACAAATGTAAATGTCCACAGGGGCCAAGGGGCAGGTATGAGACTAGAGATGGTGACAGATGGGTAAGCAAATGGCACAGACAGTAATAAACTGGAGAACACACCTGCTAAAGACATTCAAATTCAAACAAAAATAAAACCCAAAACCATGTACCTTCCTTTCAGAATATCACCTCCTCACCACCATCTTAGGAAGAGGGACTACCTTTTTTTATAAGTAGGCACCACGCATAGCATGTAGCCCAACGCAGGGCTTGAACTCATGACCCTGAGATCAAGACCTGAGCTGAGATTAAGAGCTGGACGCTTAACCAACTGAGCCAACCAGGCTGGGGTTATTTTTTTAATTGTCTAAGTCTGGAGATCTTGAGGAGCTGGGCTGAGGTGGAGGCTGGAGGCCCACTGCCCATGACCATGGGTGGTTCCAGGGCAGCAATGGTCCACTTTCAAAGGGTTGAGCTGCTGGAGAAGACCAAAACTCTCAGATACGTCAATGGGCTTTGAGAACCCTCCTGGTAACCATGATCTTAATTCAAGCGGTTTTTAAATACTGCATCTTCCTGAGGGCTGGAGTCTCCGACAGCCTTAAAGATAAAAAATCCCTTAAATGGCCAACACCTGAAACCCTGGCAACTCAAAAATCCAAGACTTGACAACATCTTCTGCTTTTCTTTGTACTCTGGCTCCAGCCATGCTGTCCTGAAGCCGCAGAGGGCCGTGTCTAGGTGAAATGAAGGAGGAAGGGCAGCAGGGATTTTTCCCTTCCTTTCCTCTTTTTTTGCCAGGCTACGGACTAGGATGGTGGGCTCTACGTTAAAACTGAGTATGCTCGGTGTCCTCTGGACCTGCGTGCCAGGCTCTCTACCAGGTAATGGGGTTATGGTAATGGATGAGACAAACTCACGAGAGGGGACACGTGGTCTAGGGGAGACCCAGTGAATGAAGTTCTGCCAGGAATTACGTAAGCACGGTTCAGGTGAACACGAGGAAGGCGTTCAGGATAATATGGGAACATACCGGAGATTAACCCTCAGTGGAGTTAGGGAACAATGACACTGACCACCTTAGGTTATGTAAAAGGCTGAGCATAATGTGGGGCTGAGCACTTTAGAGACACACGATAGTGTTAATTCTCAGTTCTCCTCCCTCCCTATTGTGCACACACATGCACACCACACGGACTTTCTTCAGGAACACCAAACCTTACAAAACTATAAAAACTCAGAAGTAACTCACTGTTGCCTGTTTTATGTCCTCTTTTAATTGTCCTTCTAGGTGCTGGTTTTTAGCCACTCTGGGATACTGAAAACCAAGAGTACTTTGCTCCTCAAGCCCTAAGGATTCTCCTCAAAAGCAAAAGAGATCCAGACGGTTCATTTCAAGCTGAATTCCGAAATATAGCGATCATCTAGTTCTGTCCCCTTACTTAGGTACAAAAGAGGAAACTGAGGCCCAGAGAGTGTAGAACACTTGCTCAGGGCCACAAAGTTTCCGTGGGTGGCCCTTTGTTTCTTAAAGCTGAAGTCTTTCCGCTTTAACCGTGATTTCCCAACTATTTCCACCTGCTAGCCGGGGAGGTGGGTGGCACGCAGCAGCAGCTGCGAGCCATGAGCCACGTACCTCAAACCACAGGAGAACGGTCAGCTCAGGCGCCCACTGGTGAGGGGCCTGGGACAAGGCCCCTCCCTTCCCCTCCGCACAGAATGACTCCCCTGGTTTAAAATCCTGAGCACAGACCCCAAGAAAGAAAATGCCGAAGTGCTTACTTACACGTTTGTTCTGTTTACTTTCTAGGCATCAACAGCAAATTTTAAAAAGGAAGCAATAAAAAGACCATGAAGCCAAAGTTAAAGTCTTCCGACACTTCTTTCCATCTCGGGAGTCCGCCCAGCTGCTGTGGCAGTGGGGCGCATGTGATAAGCTAACTTCAGAAAGCTGATCATTTCTGTATCTTACATTTATAATACCAATCTTGTATTTGTGAGGGGAAGATTACAAGGAATTGCCAATTCACTTGAGAATTGAGATGTCATAGACATTTCTCTCTCTAGGGTGTCTAAAATGGTTTGTACTACCTTTGTAATCAGAGAAAAAACTAAAGGTTTTACAAACCTCAATGTCTAAGGAGGGACTTACTTCTTCACCTATCTTTAGGGCAAGGAGCTGCTTTTAAAGCTCTAGCCGATCTGTCAGTGTTCTTGGGGTAAAAAAGTCAAACAGCATTTGAATGGAGCCCATCTGTGAAACTTGAGTTCAGACTCTAGCCCCAGGCAGTTTCAGACAAAGCCATAATTTTCAGAGCAATAATATATCATAATATAAAAATAGACACTTTGTGACCGACCGGCTGTAAAAAAAGCAATAAATAAATAAAGCAAGCCAAGCTCTCCAGACAGCTCTGCCTCCGAGCCCTGCTCTCCCCAGGGGTGGGGGTGGCGGTGGAGAATAAAGTTCTACTTACAAGAGCAAAGAGTTTCTCCAAAGTCCAGGGCTCCTCAGTCACACGCAAAGGGAGAATTTAAGAAACCAGGATTCAAAACGCCTCCCTTTTGAGGGCTGGCGAGATTAGCAGACCAGGCCGGCGGTGCAGTCTGGATTCTTCTTTGCCCTCTCTCCCTGTGTGTCTCTAAATGAAATGCACTTCGAGGTTTTAGTGGGTGTTTCCCATGTCTCGGGCCAAGTAAGTCCCCATTTGTTGTAACCCAATGCTCAGCCTGATGATGTCAACCACTCAGCTCCCTTGCTCAGTTTCCACCTCTCTGTCCACGGGGGAGATCCATTTCCTCTGGACAATGAGCTGGGGGGCTGTAACTTCATCCCAGGCCGTTATATTTGCCTAACATCCTTCCTTCAATTTTCAACAGCACAGCCTTAGTGACAAAAGGCTTCCTATCCACTCACTGGGCCAGCGCTCCTGGCATTAAGTCCCTTTGCCTTGTAGTCACTGCTGACTGAGAGCGATCCAGTTTGCTTTGCTGTGTTTTAATTCACTTCTTTGGTGTGTAATACCCTTGTTAGGGTGGAGATCAGCATCCCCACTCCACCCCACCCTCATTTCCTCCTGCTCAATTTTCTAAGTCGTTCAATTTCTCCAAGTTTCCTAGGTGCATGCTGCGCACGGCGTTATGTCTGCCCTTCACTTAGGGGAGATGACACGTGCCCAAGTGCAAGGCTCAGAAGGAGCACTGGTCTGCTGCCTGGAAAACTTGGTTCTGGTCTCAATCACAGTCCTAACTGAATAATGGCCTCAAGTCATCTCTCTCCCTCGACTTCAGTTTCCCCATCAATAAAATGATGGCTTTGGGGTCTTCCACTTCTGAAATTCAGTGACTGAGGAGCTTATCAACAAATGTAACATAAAAGAATTTTACTACAAGCTGGCTGATTACATGCTTGAGGGAGGAAGAACCCTGACAGGTCAGAAGGCCAATGTCCACAATGCCAGGCTCAGCCTGGTTCCTTCGACCCCCGTTGTGGTGGAGCTGAACTGTTTCTCTGGGAGAAAATCCCAAAGAATTCACTGAACAAGGCCTGGGGGACATGGAAAGAGGCAGCACTGCCTTAGGGATTAACGTGGAGCAGCAGTGATCAGGAGAGACCATAATAACCTCTTGCATTTGTAGAGTGCTTGCAGGGGAAGACAAATGAAACTTCTGTACTTCTGTGTACAGAGGGAAGCAGTGTAACACGTATATTGCTTATGAACATCAATTTGGGAACCAGAGATATGGATCTGAGTCCTGTGTGACTTCACTTCCCTGAACTTTTTTTTAAAGATTTTATTTATTTGACAGAGAGAGACAGTGAGAGGGAACACAGCAGGGGGACTGGGAGAGGGAGAAGCAGGCTTCCCGCGGAGCAGGGAGCCCGACGCGGGGCTCAATCCCAAGACCCTGGGATCATGACCTGAGCCGAAGGCAGGCGCTTAAGGACTGAGCCACCCAGGCGCCCCTCTGAACTTTTTTTTTTAACTGTAAAATGGAGTAATAGGGCCTCCCTTTCAGGATTGTCAGAATTGAAGAACACATGCAAGGGAACTGAAAGTATCTGTACATACTAAGTGTTGATAGATGGTAGCTTCATTGTCATACATAATCTCATCTGATTCTCATTTTAGGAGCATTAGGACCCAGGGGCTGAATTATTAGTCTGCTTTTCCTGGGTAGGAAAATGAAACACAGAGAAGTCAAGTGATATGCCCAAAGTCACACAGCTCAAGATTAAAGGGTCAGATTTGGAAACTGAGTCTTTAACGCCTACTTAGGCCAGCACACATGCCAATGCTATTTCTAAATGGGATCATTTCTACTTAGAAAAATGAGCTAAACTTATTGAAACAAATGGGGAAGGGATAGGTTCAGCCAGGCCAGGGGAGAGGAGAGACAGTCAATCTACTGCCTAAAGGAAACACTACAGGCCACTAGGTAGAAGGGATACTTACTTGCTTTGCTACCCAAATACCATGTGACCTGAAGGAAGTCTTGGCTTTAGTCACCCCCTCCCTCCAAGAGGCAGATCTGATTTGTCTTAAACCTCTTAGATGGGAAGTTGGGATTGGAGTTCTTTTGAGAAAGAAGAAGCTACTTATAGGTGGGGGTGAGACTGTGGGAGTTTGTGACTTAACAAAAACTTTAATTTTCAGAAATCTTTGATGCTGTAATAAGGAAGGACCAAGCAAACAGACTATACATTAGGAGGGAGTTTGCCAATCTGAAGGCTTTCCCACAAGCTGGTGTGGGGCTGTAGTGGAATGAAAAGAACTCCAGCCTGTTAACTCTGAGCCTGTTGCCAGCTCAGAAAAACCCGGGTTTCCTTCCCATCCCTGGACCTTCCAGCAGTGGATGACCTTGGCCAAGTTAACGTCTGTGTAAAGTGAGAATAATAATAGCACTTACCCTACAAGGTTCTTTGGATTAAGTGCCTGGCACATACTACAAGTTCAAAAATATTTGGGAAAAAAAACTTACAAAAATAAGCTGCAACATCCTAAAGGCATTATTTTCTAATTCTGACTCAGTGTCACCATTCTCTACCCTGAGGATGATGTAACAGTGAATGAATAAAGTCAAGAATGTCAGGAAGCCAGAAGGACCTGTTATTTCTTGAGAACGTCAGGATGAATAAGGAACAAAAAAGCCCACCAAGAACTGTCAGGTGTGTTCTCAGCAGCAATACTCAGCTTGGAGGGATTGGGGGTGGTGGCTGGGGCCGTTATCTGCTGTGTCCTTTTCCCAGAAGCCCAAGTGGGCATCAGAAAATGAGCTGGGCCCTGGGCAGGTCAGTTTGCCAAAATCACTCTCAGTGCTTTGAGATCATGTTTTGTTATTTGAACAAAAATAATAGTAAGGAGCCCATTCATCAAAACAAAGATATTGTTTTCTTCGACCACATATATTTTGTAACACTTGCCTGTAACACTGAATAAGTGCACATCTGTGACAGAAGCCATGAAGAGAGGACAGCCAACGCCAGGCACTCATTTGGCCTTCTGACCGACGACGGCAGATACACTCTGTGGCCTGGCGCCACGCTCTGTGCTAAGTACTCTAGACACCACCTTCTAGGACCCTTATAACCCTCAGGTGCAGGAGGTTTAATATCCCCTCATCTTACGGCGACACCGGCGAAGGGGGCTGCTGAGGCTGACCAACCTGCGCGAGGCTGAGCGGAATGAATGACAGAGCCTAGGCTCCTCGCCAGGGCTGCCTGGGGCCCAGCTTGGGTTCTGAGTCCCTTCCTCTGCCGCCTTCGAAGGGGTTTCCCTGCAGGAAGGCCGGCAGTTTGTCACAGCCAGCAGCATCGGATCAATCTGAGGGGAAAGGCAACTCCCGCTGCTTCTGAGCACAGAGCTGCTCTGAAGGGCCCAGACAGCTCCTCTGCCACAAAGCTGCCCTTCATTCCCACCCCTCACCCCAGTCTGGAAGGGGCCTCTCCCTCTGATGTTCCTTAGGACTTCATCTGTTCCTCTCTCAAGAAACTTATCCTTTTCTCCTTGCGGAGGCAATATTTATTTCTGGGCAGCTCTTACTTATTCTGCTGCTAGAACTTGAGCTTCCTTATGGGAACACTCTGTGTTTAATTTATGAGCATTTTGTACATATGAGACACTTATTAAAATAAGGAAAGCTATATCCAAAAAAATAAAAGTAAAAAAATAAAATAAGGAAATCTATAAATAATGAGAACTTCTAACGGATGTTTGTCATATGCCAGATAATATTCTAAATGCTCTATATAAATTATCTCATTTAACCCCCACGAGGGTCCTATGAGGTAGGTATTACTATCTCCACCTGACAAATAAGGGCATTTTAGACATATCAATCACGGAACTTGTTCAGCTGGCAAATGACTGGTATCTGTTGAAAGAAGTATATGAGGAATAAATTCTGGGCACCACTACTGACCTTCTAGTCCAAACAGCTGCTGCAAAATGCAATTAGCTCTTCACCCTATCAAAGGCAAGTTTCAGTTGTCATGCCATTTCAAACTCACTTAATCGCTCTGTCACACAACTAGAAGATCCCTATTTTTTTCTGGACATAATTGAGAAGCACATTGATTGAGACTTACAGTTGTAAATATAGATTTTGTTTTCTTTCCAATTATAATTGGTTATTGTAAAAAAAAAAAAAGGAAATATAGAAGAGCAGGAAAAAAGGGAGGAAAATCATCCATCATCCTACCACCCAGAAATAACCAATTAACTTCCTGGCATATGGGCCCAAAAGGAACCATACCTACACTGAAAACAATGTTTTGGGGTGCCAGGGTGGCTCAGCTGGCTAAGTGTCCAACTCTTGATTTCAGCTCAGGTCTCAATCTCGGAGTCATGACTTTAAGCCCCACAGTGGAGCCTACTTAGAAAAACAACAACAAAAACAATTTTTAAAAATCAGACACATAAGTCATTTTGGGGCAGAGAGGAATCAATCCCACAAAAGATGCCAAAGAAATGTTTGATTTTTTTCTTTTTTTCTGGTTTTGGAGTACACCTGGCTGCTTTCTCTACAGGGTTTGATGTTCTGAGGGTCCACCTCCTAGGCCCCCTTGGATGGCTGCTGAGGTAGTCAGTGTGCCCAATGGAGAGATGGCAGGAGAAGGGAAGCCTGATCCCAGAGAGTATGCACCTAAAGAATGGGTAGGTTCACAGAATACCTCCCTTCTAGTATGAGACTGGGCGTCCTTACCCTGTCCTTTGAAGGACGCTCAGTCTAACTGAGGGTCAGGTGCCCTAAGGCAAAGTGTACCCTTCAGTGTGGTACACAGAGCTTCTAACAGCTTTCCAGGCAGGGCTGAGGCCTATGTGGCAAACAGACAACAATTCCAGAGGAAACAAAGGCCTACCTCCTAAAAGGAGGCTTTTATTATTGTTTACAATTGGGAAATAAAAAAAGACAGAGCATTTGAGGAAAACCAACAGCATGACAGAAACAAAAAAAGAGAAAATGGACCCTTATGGGAAAGAAAATTCAGACAAGTGAAGACCTCTAAAAAGAAAATTCTTATGTCTTCAGAGAAATTCTGAGGATACCATGTCCACAAAACAAAAGAAGTTGACAAAACTGGACTCTTGGAAATTAATAATATGAATAACTGAAATGAACAAT